AATGTAAATAATGGAGAAAAGACTTTTTTTTTGTACCGGGGATTGAATTCAGGTCCTTGTGCTTGCAAGGCAGGCAGTGGAACTGCTGAGCTAAATCCCCGGCCTGGAGAAAAGCCTTTTAAAATTGATAATTGTGGAAAGTCATTTAGCAAATTATGCCTGTTATATAAAAATCATGCTGGGGAGAAACCTTATAAATATGGTGAATATGGAAAAGCCATCAAAAAATGTTTTTATCCTACTGTGCATTTGAGAACAAACACTGTAGAGAAGTTTTCATACATGTAAGGAATGTGGGAAGGGTTTTAACAGCTTACATTTCATTGAATAATTCACACTAGCATGAAGCTCTATACATATGTGTAAGGAATGCAGAAAAATCTTAAGGACTAACAACATGACTAATTATGCTGATTTAACTGTGTATCAGAAAGTACACACTGGAAAATTCTTGTAAATGTAATGCATTTGAAAAGGTTTGCAGGAGTGACTAAAGACTTACTATTCATCAAAAAACACATTAAAGATTATGAATGTAAAACATGTCACTTAATGTCAATTCTCAAAGAATCATAGGATGCATACTACAATAAATTAAGAAAACCTTCAGGAATTATATAGTACTTTTATTAAAAACTACATTCTGGAGAGTGAAAACTTAGAATATAGGAAATAATTTTATATGTTTTATGTATATAATCTTATAGTTTATCAGAAAATTTATATTTGAGAATAACTATAATTGCTATTTTTAGTTTAAATATTTTATTTATAATGTGAAACAATTTTGGTACCAACAATTTTCTTAGATATATTTCCAAAACCTCCTTGGCTACCTATTCTATCAAAGGAGTTGGAGGATTTTCAAGGGATTTAAGCTTTAGGTTGCTTTTCACACATCATAATTACTTGAATTTTTTATGTTTTTTAGATATCATAATCATACCTTCAGCTTTCACTGAATACTTTAGAAAATGTTTAATGCAATAAAGCAATCACTTAATGCAGTAAATGTAAGAAACTGTATTTCAAAAGTATGTACAGATTGTTCCTGATTTATGAGGGTGTGAGTAATGATGTTATGATTTTACAATGGTGAAAGATGATTAAATATTCCATTGAAATAATACTCTTATTTAATTTTGATCATTTCCCAGGTTAGTGCTATTTGGTTTATTATTCTCTTGTGATGCTAGGCAGTGACAGCCACAGCTCCCAGTCTACCATACAACTGCAGGAGTAAAAAGCCAGTGTTCTATAGCATATTGTGTTCTTAAGCTATGATAAGTTATTTGGTATATTAAATACACCTTCAATTTAAGTTATTTTCAATTTATGTTGGGGATATTAGGTTATAATACTATTATAAATCATAGAGACTCTGTATTCAACTTTTGAAAAAGTTGTCTTTCTTTTCTTTCTTTCTTTTTTCTTTTTCTTTCTTTCTCTCTTCCTTTTTTGAGACAGGCTGACCTTGAACTCACTATACAGCCAAGGCTAGCTTTGTGGCAATCCTTCTGCCTCAGTCTCCTGAGTGCTGAATTACAGGTATGCACCGCCACACTTTGGCCCATCCTCAAACTTTAAAGAGCTAGAAAGCACTGGCTCTATGATTTCTTTAACATAAATATAATGGTGTTAATTAACACAATGAAAACCTGAGTACACAGTTGTAACATATATTTTAGTACAGAAAAGATATGTAAAACACTTTAAATTTCAAATCTTTATATTTCAAAAATAATAAGAATGTACAGAAAAAACAGTCCCTATAATGCAGACACTACAAACATATATGTTTTTGCTACATTTACTGTTTTTCAAAATAAAAATAGCCTGTTTTTATTATAGCAATAACTTTTTTTGTAATAAGTATAAAAATAGGAAAAAATGTTAAGAAAATAAGTGACCTCAATCCTACCACACAAAAGTATTATAATGTGTTTACCCTGGGTTTTATTTTATTTATTTATTTATTTATTTATTTATTTATTTATTTTGGTACCAGGGGTCAAACTCAGGACCTTGTGCTTGCGAGGCAGGTGGCAGAATCACTGAGCTAAATCTCTGGCCCTATTCTGGGCTTTATTTTATAATATATTTATATCCTCTATTTTATAATGCATATTTATATTTTGAACTTTATGATAATTCATGAGATAAAGGAATAAGTAACTTTATAATCACTGTCAATTTAAAAAAGAAAAGTGAAGCTAGTTCTCCTTCCTTTGGATGAAAATTCAGACAAGTTCCATAAGATTTTAGAAAAACTTCCTGTGATTATATTTGTAAAAGTACAGGCACAACACAAAAAAATCCAATACATGATCCTATGTAATTAAAGGATTCAGTATGAACTAGAGTTAGAGTTACATCTGTACTTTTCTGGCTCATTATTGGTTCATACAGATAATCCTACAGTTAAGAGAGTATAAGCAACTTCATCATCTTCTTTTCCCTTGTCTTAAGCTACGTAGAGTTCCTCCAAGTTTGAGCTAGCAGAGGAAGAAGAGATAAGAAAAGGCCATATTAGACTGGTACCATTGTAGGCTTGCTTTGTGCTTTCTGAACTTTGCAGAGGTTTAAAGAGAGCTTAGTATTTCTATGGGTTCTTAAGCAATCTTTTGTTGTTCTGTAATTCTCTCAGTGTGTGCTAATGTACATATACTCCATTTACCTATTCATTCCTCAGTTCTTAGCTTCCTCTGCTAAAGTTCCCATCTACTCTCTCAGGCAGCCCCTCAGATACAAGATTCAAGAAGATCCTATTTCCATCTCTCATGTGGCCTTCATCTGTTCCATGTTCATGTGACTCACATTTTGCCTCAAAGAACTGAAATATGAATCATTCATGCAATCACCTCTTATTAGCAATTAAATATCTCATCTCATATCCTTTGGATTTCATAAGAAGAGGTCATACATCAGTTTCTGTAGCCTTTGGCAGCAGAGAAAACATATCAAATACTCCAAGAGAACCTCAGAAGTCCTTTTGTATTCTCTAGCTCTTAACCAGTTATAACGTTAGTAAGGAGGGAAATTTTAAGAGCCATCTAATCAGTTCTTAGCCACCTCTTATAAAATCTGAATCTAGGCAGTTCTTTGCTATCTAGTGTCTCTTATCTTGGAGTCTTTACTAGTGTTTTCATTTATGTTCTGGATGCTTTTCCTCATATATTTTCCTCCCAAATCCATTATGTGTTTGTTTTAAATAAGTAATAAGTATGTATAAATGTAACTCAGAAAATTAAGAAGATGGCTCGTTAAACAAGATGTTGTTCTTGAGTTGACCTTTAAGTTTATTCTGCTCAATGTTTACCTTGTTCTAATTTTTCAGTGATATAATGAATTAGAATAATATCAGCATGTTTCTCTGTGTACATATCTCTTTTTGTGTTTTTAATTGTTAAACAGAGTCATGGAAATTAAAATTAACTGTGCCAAATATATAATGATTTTTATGATGTATTTCAACTTGCTCTCAGAGTGGTAGTACCACTTTACAATGCCACTAAGAATATATGAAGATACTACATTCACTAAGCTCACAATACCAAAATGTCAACTCTTCTCTTTTTAATGTAACTAATGTAGAAGGTTGAGTTGAAAGTCCCTAAAAGTTTGAAAGACATTAGATGACTGCCTTTATCGCACAGGTTTTTGTTTTATTGAGAATTTAACTCTCTCAGCAATAGTGACAATTAAATAATGTTGGGTAGGCCATATTAGATGAGAACCTAGGAAACTCACCTTTTTTTCCCTCACTTTTCAAGGCCCTGGCGGGAGTATCTTCTAACGTACCTTTTTTCATATATAATATCAAGAGTTTTTAGCTGTAATTATAGCAGAAGGTATAGGGAGAAATCTGTCGACTCCATCTCATCCCACTGCTAAGTTACAAAAATGGGCATCTGAAATGAACAGACATTTCTCAAAGAGTAAAATCAGCAAATAAATATATGAAAAATGTTCAACAGCACTGGTCATTCTAGAGATGCAGATGATTCCACCTCACCCCAGAAAGAATGGCTGCTATGAGGAAATCAACTAATAACAAATGCTGGTGGTGTTGTGGAGAGAAAGGAACCCTTCCCTGTTGTTGGTGGGAGTGCAGACTGGTGCAACCACTGTAGAAATCAATATGGAGACACCTCAAACAACTAGGATTAGATTGCATTTGACCCAGCCATCCCTCTGCTGGGTAACTTTCCAAACAAATTAAAAGAATCATACCACAACAATATATGCACACACATGTTGATAGTGGCACAATTTGTAATAACTAAATTTAGAAACAGCCCAATTGCCCATCAATTGGAGACTGGATAAGAAGATGTGGTTTTTCTATAAAATTGAGACATAAAGAATGAGAAACTAGTCATGTATAGGAAAATGGATGCATATTGAGGCCATACTCTTAAGTGAAATAAATAGGACACATGTGTAAATACCACATAATTTCTGTGGTGTGAAAAACTAAAAGTGTAAATAAGATTCAAATTGTATAACTGATAATGTGAAATAGGAAGAAAAGGGCTAAAGGTATAGGGGAAGTGGGAAGGGTAGAGGAAAGGAATTAAGGGAAAAGAAAAAATATGGCAAGTGGAAACAAAGTCTTTGTAAATAGGGGATGGTGGAGCAGGTGAAGGGAGGGCAGGGGTATGGAGAAAAAATGAGAACCAAGATCTGTCATGTAAAGGTACAAGGGGGATTTAGCACACTGGTGCTGCTGCCTGCCTCGCAAGCACAAGGTCCCAAATTTGATCCCTGGTACCAGAAAAAAGAAAGAAAGAAAAGAAACCATTACTAAGTCACCTTCGTTTATGAAAAATATTTTTGATGGGTATTAATGTCCAAGATGACAGTTCATTTGTACTTTAAATATGTTGCTCCATTGTCTTCTAGTGGGTTGTTTTTTTGTTTTGTTTTGTTTTGTTTTTCTGATGAGAAGTCATTATCTTTTTTCTTTTGTTTTTCAAATGTCTCTGGTCTTCATCAAGGAAGCTGAGGAGGAGCAAAGGAGCAGATCTTTGTGAAGACCTTGGCAAGCAAGACTATCACCTTGGAGGCTGAGCCCAAGGACATCATGCGGAATGTCAAAGCCAAACCCCAGATATTGAGAAGAGCATCCTACCTAACCAGCAGCATCTGATATTTACAGGCAAATAGCTGGAAGATGGTACAATCTCTCTGACCACAACATCCAGAAAGAGTCTACCTGCCCTTGCTTGGAAGGTAGCATCATCGAGCCTTCCCCACATCCTCTCACCCAGAAGTATAACAAGATGATCTGTCAACTGTTACGCTCACCTGCATCTTTGTGCTGTCAGCTGCCACCAGAAGCTCAACCATACCAACAACTTCTCCCACAAGAAAGGTGGTCAAGTAGAACCCTCCATCCACTCCTCCTTTCCTGGAAGGGCTGCTCCCTGCCCAAGCTACATGGCATTAGGACCTCAATAAAATTTTGAGGGAGGAAGAGAGTGTGGCTAACACTAGCTGGGAAAGGTGTGACAAGATCCCGGAACACATGCACAGTACAGTTCTCAAAACCCTGCATGTGAACTTCTTTAAAGAACTCAAGCAGGTTTTCGATAGGATGGACTAGAGTGAAACCAGTGTGGGAAATACATAAAAGAGACAGTCTCCATTAAGCTCTTATTATCCTGCCTGTTCAGGGTAGCCCACTCTACACCATAGGGTGAGTTTCTATTTTTATTTTTTTTCCTCCCTTTCTACTGGATCCAAAGCTTTTCCGTAGAACCCATTTTCTTCTTACACTTCTGTTTTTTCCTATTTTTAATAAATGTGAAACTCTGCCACTGCAAATGCTTGTTTTGTTCATTTCTTTGTCCAGGACAGAAAGGACCTATGAATCACCTCTAAAAGGAGACTCCAGCACTCTAGAATCCAGTAACAGTTTCACTTATGTTGACTGGGGGAAAGATCCCTTTACTACTGGTTTATTTAGATTATGATGTATGTTGGTGTGAATTTGTTTCTGTGGATTTGTAATTTCTATCAAATTTTTAAAAAGCCATTATTTTTAAAAATATTCTCTCTCCTAGCATTCTTATTGCACATTTTTATACTGCTTGGTATTGTTCCATAATTCACTTCTGCTCTGTTTATTTTTTCATCCTTTTCCTCTGTTTCATTTTTAGGCAATTTTTATTGTTACATCTCTAAATTCACCAGTCTTTTCTTTTGTAGTATGTTATCTGCCCTTATGCCTGTGTGATCTATTTTCTTTTCACATGCTGAACTTGGGATCTCTAGATCAATTCCATTTGCAATTTCCTCTCTGATAGCTAAAGGGTCAATGCTCTATGTCAAACTTCCCCAAAATATCCACTGATTCTTTGAGTTCTGGAACCCAGTTTTGCACAGTTTAGTCTCACTGAGTTTTATAACTCCCTGAAGATCCTCACTTGGAGGAGGTGACCCCGTGTGGGCATTGTGCACAATCAAAGCAGCAGAGAAAAGTCTTATTGAATTCCACAAGAGTAGGAATGTATTAGAGAGGAAATGGACCCATTACTAAGGAAGCAAGCAGCTCTGACATCCTCGAGGATTCTGTTTGATTAGCTGTGCAGAATATCGTCTTTAGCTATTCATAGTATGGAACCACAGCAAAAGAAATAATATAGTATTGTTTAAATGAACCCAAAAAGAAAACTCTGATTCAAACACCCAAAACTTATAATGAAGGCATTGGCTTTTCCATAAAAAACGTGATTGAAAGATAAACAAAAGCTAGGGAACACATCCACTCAGCTGGCATCTGAGGTTTTAACTAAGTTACATGAGGCCTCTATTCATAGTGGGTTTTCTTCCCTTTTTCATTTTTCTTTTGGTACAGGTGATTAATCTGAGGACTTTGACACTAAGCTACATACCCCTTATTTTATTTATGTATGTGTGTATGTACGTACGCACATATGTCCTTACTTACAGACAGGGACTAGCTAAGTCGCTAACTTGCCCTCGCTGGGCTCCAACAGAGGATCCTCCTGCCTCCGCCTTCCAGATTGCCGGGATCACAAGCTTGCATCCCGTGCAGTGGCTTTCTTTACTTGCACAGAAATCTTCAAGGCAAAGATTGCATCAGTTTTCTTTGTTCAGGTGGTGTCTAGTGCTAGTGCCTGAAAGACAGTCATAGCCTCTCAACACAAATGCCTTCGATATGACTGAATTTTGGGGTCATCCAAAGATAAATACAGCCAAATCCTTCGTAAAGAAGAACAAAAGGAGAGGGAAAGGGGCCGCTCTCGGCGCTGAGGATTGTGGGAGCTGTAGTTCAGGTGCCCGGCTGCACAGGCGCACTGGACTGCATGGAGACCTCCCTGTGGAGCTCGCGCCATTGCTGGAAGAGTTCCCGCCCTGCTCTGCGAGCGCCCTCAGTTGTCCTCAGTGCGGCCGTCAGGTACTAACTCCCGGGACTCTAGGCCTGGGTTCCACGCCGCTCCTCCCTCGGCGCTGGGCTCCGGGCAGCGTCTGGGGCGTGGCCGTTCCCTGCTGGGCCGCTATAGCTGAGCGGATCCGCCCACCCAGAGAAGCGATTGGGGCTGGCCATCCT